ATTCTCCGTCAGTGGGTGTGCTTGCTGACTGTACAGTTAGGCTCCCTCCAACAGATTTCTGAAAGCAAAGTAAGGACACCTGGATCCATAGGCCCGGGGAATTATGGCCACATATCTGAACTGGTAACTTCCATGGCTGTCTTGCTGATGATATTGCTTGCAGTGCCAGAGACAGAATTCAGACCTTATGCAGTATGCACTTTACTGCTAAGCCATGTCCGACGTCCTAACTTAGTAGACTTGCATTGCTAGAAAACTCCTTAGAACTCCAGGGGGCTCGAAGATGATTCAGCAGCTCCAAGTACCACCTTGCAAGTAAGAGTCTACGAGGTCAGTTCCCAGCACCATCTGCCCACCTGGGCCAAGCACAGTCCCAAAGTTCTGCTGACTAGGATACCCCTTCCCTTATGCACCACAACAGAGTATGGTCCCTGTGACCACAGGTGCGAGCACTACAGCCAGAAACTGCAAGAGTTCCACAATTAGAGACACCCAGTGAACACACACCACCAGTCACTGCAACAGCGGCAGAAAAGGGGAAGCGGAACATCAACAGGGCCTACTTACTCCGGGGCTGAAAGACACCTCCCATAGCCACTGCCTGCCATGCGCTAGGCCTCAGATCTCCAGGGCCTGAGCACAACACCATAACCACAAGTAACACACCATCAGCCGAGCATGGCTCTTGCTGCATGGCCAGATGGCGCAGTGGTGGGAGCCGAGCGGGCAGGTCCGCACAGTGCCAGGGTTAAGCCCACAGGCCTGTAAACACAGCACGTGCTTTCCCAACCCAAGCCACCTCCCCTGCCCAAGAATATTTGGTAACCAATCCTGAAATTTTGACACTACTACTGCTGACATTCTTCAACTTAGGAAATATACACTCAGTTTCCTCTGAAGTTAGGGAAAAGATGATCTCATTTCTATCATTTACATAAAATATGATTTGTTTCAAAGAGTACTGTAGAAGTCACCTGAAAATATATGACATATCTTATTATGTACATACACGTGAATTTCTGTCACCCTAGTGGTACTTGGGGCTTACTCCTTGCTCTGCCTGTACTCATAACCGCAAGAGGTGCCAACAACAGAGCCGTCGGCCACGCACAAGGTCCCTCATCTGAGGATATTTATGTCCTTATTTATTAATTCATCAACTCGGAGTTACCAAGAGACATGAAATTTGTTTTAAACAATCTTAGAAATAGTGGCCTTGAAAAGTCAATACCCCCCACCCCGACATAAATTCTGAAATCTTTTATGATTATCATAGCTCAATTCACTTTGATAATATTAGCCAAACAAAAGGGAAAGCTTGGAAACAGATACTGTGGCTGGAGAGTAGTACAGGTGTTAAGATAGAAAAATCAATGCTTATTTATCATAAAAATTATAACCTGATTTTACTACCCTGCATTTTATTCCATTCAGAGAAAAGTTTTCCTTACATAAAACAACTGTGGCTCCCAAGAGGAACCCATGCAGCTCTCTCCTCATCCTTACTCGCCAAATCAATTCTACTAAGCTCATGCATTCTAGGTATTTCTAAGGTTGTGTGTGTGTGTGTGTGTGTGTATTTTCTTTTTGGGTCACACCCAGCGATGCACAGGGGTTACTCCTGGATCTGCACTCAGGAATCATCCCTGGCAGTGCTCAGGGGACCATATAGGATGCTGGGAATCGAACCTGGGCTGGCTGCATGCACTCCAGCCCTAAGGTATTTCTAAGGTTTACAGAAAGCATTTACCATGCATGCTCACACAGTTATCTCCTTTTATTTTGTGGGCCTGCCTTTATACTCCTGCTCCGGCCCCCAACAGGTAATCAACATCCAAAATTCAACTCACTCTCCATTCCCTCAAAAAAACAAACCAAAACAAAACTACCATTTCTAGCCTAGCCTTCCTTCGGCAAATTCAGCAGAGGGCTGGCTGGGGAGCCACTGTCTTGGACATGAGGTCCTATATTAGATCCCCAGTTTCCTGGAAAGAAAACCGCCCAAAGATTCAATTTCCATAATAAAGGTCAGGAGAACTGTCCTATCGGATGTTTCTAAAAGCTACAGTGAGGAATCTGAGCAGCTCACTGAGGCAACCTGAGGCGTACTCCTGGATCTCCCCCTCCTTTGCCTCTTACATTTGTTTCAGTAAACTTCTCCAAATAAAATGGTTTACTTCACGAAAAGAAAAGAATCTTAGCAGCCAAAGTTAGGAGAAGGCACTACGGCTCTAGCGCCAGTATTGTCGCACTGTCCTCCGACTGTTCATCGATTTGTTCGAGCAGGCACCAGTAACATCTCACATCAAATTGTGAGGCTTGTTCCCGTTTTTGGCATATCAAATACGTCATGGGGAGTTTGCCAGGCTTTGCCGTGAGGGCAAGATACTCTCAGTAGCTTGCCGGGCTCTACAAGAGAGGCGGAGGAATCGAACCCAGGTCAGCTGCATGCAAGGCAAACGCCCTACCTGCTGTGCTACCACTCCAGCCCTAGCGCCAGTATTAAGTGGTCTTAAGAGAAAGTAAGAGAAAAGAATAAAGATGGCTCCAACTGGTTTGAGTTAACTAGGCAGTAAGCTAACAAAGCAATGATAGAGCAATCCAGAATTCAGTGAAAAAGATAAAACCATCCTCTTGAAGAGAAAACGAGCTGGAAGATGCCTAAATGATCGAGATCAGTTTCGAGACTGTTCCCTGCGTTCTACTGACAGGAACTAAGAAGAATCTTACACACATACTCAAGTAGTATCATCTGTAATCACATCTTACAGAGATGTTTGTGAAACACAAATGGTTTCCTGATGTTTCTTTCCTTAGTAATTATCACCTAAAAGAGAAATCCTGCCAGTATTTATGTTGGGGCCAGACCTATGGCAGTGCTCAGGGCTCTTCCTGGTAGGGTTCAGAGGAAGTGTTGGGATAGAACTGGACTGTAACTCTGGCCATCTGCCAGCGTGAGTCTATATCCCCCCCACCATCTACATCCCGTAGCCCTTAGTTAGCAAAAGCTGTCAGGCTTCGATCTCAATCGAGTCTCATTTCTCAAACTACAGTAAGAGTTAAGTGTAGGTTCAAGTCTGTTTAAGTGTCCCTGGATGATGTGCACTCTCCTTAATACTGTTCACAAACTCTTAATATTTTCTTTGGGGAGTATGTGGATAGGTGGCAGAGGGGCATAGTAGGGCACTTGGTCTTGGGCACTTTGGTGGCAAAGATGTTAGGTAACTTCATGCACCAAAACCATAAACTTCAATATAATTGTAACCACATTAACTTACCACAAATTTTAAAAATATTTTCTTCATTACTGATGCTGTCCTTGTTACCTCTTGACTTCACAATTAATACAGATTACCTGTCTAGTCTTCCTTCCCCATTCTAACCTACTTTCATTTTTTTTTTTTTGATTGATAGGGCCACATCTAGCAATGCTCAGGGGGTTTCCCTGGCTCTGCACTCAGGTGCTTGGGGGACCATATGGGATGCTAGGAATCAAACCCAGGTTGGCAGCATGCAAAGTAAATGCCCGAGCTGCTGTATTATCACTTCACCCCCAAATTCTGACCTACTTTGTACATCACATTGAAATTCCCTTCCTAACCCATTTTTCTTACTTTTAATAACTAGACAAAAATCTAAGATCTATAAATAGTACTAATTTCCTGATTTTAATAATTGTTTTGGATTTATGTAAGAGAATATCCTTCATTTTTTTAAATAAGCACAAGTATTTAGTAGTAATCATACCTGGAATTTACTCTCAAGATACTCAGTGTGAAAAAAAATTAATGTGTGAATGTACAGCTACAGACTGAAAGAGAACACTTTTGTAAAAAAAATACATATTTGGAGAATGTGAACAGTGAATATGAGAAATCCTTATGCTTTTATGAATTTTGCCCCTGAACTTAAGAGAAACCCCAGTGGCAAGGGCAGGAGTGATATCACAGAGCTCTAAGTACTTGTCTCACATGTGGCTGCCCAGCCTTGGTCCCGACACCGCATTCCCCAAACACCACACAAGGCATGCATAAGCCCTAAGCACTGCCAGGTCTGGCCCAACAAAAAAACACCTTGGTAGTCAAAACACTGCTCCTTCCTGTGGTTAATATGTTTTTTGTCAGCACTCCTGGCGGTGCTCGGGAAAGCACGTGACAGCAGGGATCTAACCAGGTCCCCGTGCAAGCACGCCTGCCATCCAGCCCTTTGGGCCATCACCAATTTTCAGTCATAAAGTTACCCTAATTATCAACCTAATTCGGTAGTTATGACTTAACATTTGTGGCAAGAACCAAAACAATAAAGAAAGGTGCATGGTCACTGACTGGTATTCTAACAAACTGCTCACAACTGCCAAATCAAGATTAAGTTCATTATCTCACCAGTATTAGTGTTCTATAGTATAATTAGAAAATCTAGTCCAATAAATTCAAAGCACTTTCAACAACATGAAGGGATTTGCCAAACTCTTTAAACAAGGTGTTGTTTTTTTTTTTTTTGGCTGTTGTTGGGCCATACTTGGTGATACTCAGAGACTACTCCCAGGGGTTGCTCTGAGGTGGTTCAGGACAAGGTGACAGGAGACTGAAGCTGGGCTTCCAGCATGTGACACACGAGTTCAGTGCTTTGAGCTCTCTTTCTAGCCCTCTATGTAGTAATTTTACGGAAAACCTGAAACATCTGGATGGCACTAGAATCTGTTCATATGGTAACAAATTTCCTTCTGTATTCAGGGACTAAATTTGGAGCCTTATGTATTTTAAGCATGTGCTCTGCCATGTTTGAGAAGAGGGCTAGGGAGATAGCTCAAAGGGCCTGAACATGTGTTTTGTACGCGGGAGACCTAGGTCCCCAAGTACCAGAGAATAACTCGAACACTAAGCCAGAAGTGACGTGGCCCCAAAATTAAAACACACACACAAGCTAGAATTATGAACCCTGAGACAATAACTGCATTCATATACACAATCTAGCATTAAAAAATTACTAGCTCAACTTACCAGCAATCTCTACAATGTCCCCAGGAACTATGTCTTTAGCTTTGATTCGTTGTACGCTCTTTCTGTCCTGCCGATACACTTTGCCCATTTCTGGCTCATACTCCTTAAGGGCTTCAATGGCATTTTCAGCATTTCTTTCCTATTATTTAAAAAAAAAAAAAAAGCAAAGGTATGAATAAATGCATGCCCGTCACTTTGAGTAAGTACACACCATTTAAGGAATTACAACTTTAATTTCTAATCTAAACTTCTAAAAGACTTACATAAAAGAAATATATTCATGGCATTTATAAAAACTTCGACCTTTGGACGTGCGCAGCTATGTGAATGGAGGAGTACGGGGTCCGAGAGGCAAAGCGTGCTCCTACCGCTAAAAGAATCGGCCATCCCCACCATTCTGAGAAACCCTTGCTTCCAGCCAAACGCACCTACAATCACGTGAAAACTAATGGTCTGGAACTAACCTGCCCAGGGTCAATCTAGGCTTTCCCACTTAATAACTATGACCATGGTTAAGTCACAGAAAAGACTGTTTACTGCCTACAAAACTATGACATAACTGCCCTCCCTCAAGGATTCTGAGGTTCTATAAGCACTCTAAAAGTTAGGATTATGTTTTAGCACATACTTATACTTTGAGTAACAAATTAAGAAAATCAAGTTACATCTCATGAGTTCCAAAAATCTGTCTCCAGTGGTCAAGATGCACTGTGATCCGTTAGAGACTGCCAGAGATGACTGTTCTCACATAGTCTCATCTATGAGCCTTACCGAGAGTCACAGTTAATTCTAATTTCAAGATAGAAGATGCAGAAACAAAACCGAGTCATGTTGGAGAAAAGGCTACAGAAAAATTGCTTTGATGGTAAACAAAAAATTAAAGGAAAAGATAAGCTTGTGTTTTTATGGGGGGCAGGGGCGTATGTTCCACACCCAGCAGTGCTCAGGAGCTATTTCTGACCCTAGTAGAATCAACCCTTGGTGGCAGAAGATATGTGGTGCATATGAACAGGGCCAGGGGGATGCAAAGGCACCTTAAACTCTGCCCTGTACTGTTATCCTTCCAGTCACTTTGACAGTATACAGGTATAATAATAATAAAAAAAAAAATCCTACAAAAAAAAATTTGAGAAATTTGTAATAAAATTTCACTCTCAGATTGCTTCAAGAATCATTACATTTGTATTACCTTATAACTGGCAGAAATCTAGATTTGTAACCATAATGCCACTTCTAAAAGGTCCTTCAGATTAAGTGCAAATGTTACTGACAGCACTGTAGCACTGTCTTCCCGTTGTTCATCAATTTTTGCTCGAGCGGGCCCAGTAACATCTCCATTGTGAGACTTGTTACTACTGTATTTGGCATATTGAATACGTCACGGGAGCTTGCCAGGCTTTGCCGTGCGGGCAAGATACTCTCGGTAGCTTGCCGGGCTCTCCGAGAGGGGCGGAAAAATTGAACCCAGCTCGGCCCGGCCAGCCGCTTGCAAGGCAAACACCTTACTGCTGTGCTATCTCTCCAGCCCATGTACAGAACAAATTCTGATCACTGTTACTCTTTAACTCCATTCAAATTTGAAACTTTTCCACAGTTCTAGTAAATTTATGAATTGAGAGTTTTACTCCCATTTCCTCCTCTTAAAGATGACGACAAATTTTAACTAGAATATTCAAGATTAAGGAGCTATCCCCAAAAAACTTTATTTTGCTCCTACTAAAAATAGCGAAGATGTATTTAGAACTGTAAACTTAAAATCACTTAAAAAGCTTCCCACCGCCCCAAAACACCAAACCAAAATCAAAAAAGCTGTCTGTCCAACTATTAAAATGAATATCCAGTCGAGTGGGAAAAGGAAGCAAGTGAAGATATATTTATTTTCACCAAAAGCAGTGTTGCTTGGGAAAACACAAATATACCTAAATATACCTTAAAGTGTACTATCAAAAAATTATGACCCTTGGATCTGGAGCGATAGTACTGCGGGTAGGGTGTTTGCCTTGCACGTGGACCAACCCAGGTTTGATCCCCAGCATCTCATATGGTTCCCCAACCACCGCCAGGAGTAATTCCTGAGTGCAGAGCCAGGAGTAACCCCTGTGCATTGCTGGGTGCGACCCAAAAAGCAAAAAAGAAAAAGAAAAAGACCTAGAGCACCTTCTAGTATTTCTAGGGGGCCAGAGCTCAAGTGGTCAGGAACACATGATGCCACGCACTGGAACTGAACCCCAGCACCATACAGCACCTCTGGGAACCACCAGAATCACAGGGCCAAAGCACTAAAGCGGGGGCAACACTAAGCACTGGCAGCAATAGCCGGAAGGCACCAGTACCACTTGGGAGGCCTCCCACCCAAGGAACCACCTTTGCGGCACAGGTAGGAGATGTAAGCCCTCCCCAACCCAAATACTAGCTTACACTCAAATCTATTTCCCTTCTTTTTGACTTTTTAAATTATTTTTGGGCCACATCTTCTAATGCCCAGGAATCACTCCTGGTGGTGCCTGGGGCACTATCATATGCAATGCCAGGGACTGAACCTGGGCAGCGCAAGGCAAGGGTCTTGTTCTCTACATCAGCTGGCTCTAATTTCCAAATGGCAAGAACTCTCCAGCATTGCTCGTAAAATCTGTATGCTCTGTGAAAGGGAGTCTGACCAAAGAATGTTACATTCCTTTTTAAAACTCAAATACTTAAAAAAAAAAAAAAAAAAAAAAAAAAAAGGAACGTAAGAGCTGGGGATGCGGTTTATTTTTAAGAGGATATGCCTTGTGTGTGTGAGGGTGTGAGGCCCTGGATCACAATTATATGAAATAAGGGGGAGAGAGGGATTCCATTATTTTTCTATAGTAAACTTTTTTCCATTCTGTGCTAAGCGCTTGGGCAGCTGAGGGAAAATAACTTCAGCATATGCTCTAAAGAGATCAAGAAAAAAAATTTTTTTCACAATACCTGGGATCAAATCCTGGGCCTTATGGATACATGGCATGAAGTTTACCACTAATCCATATATCAGAGAGAATACAACTTTCATAGTTAAACAAGCTCACTGTCTCTCACTAAAGAAAATAAAAAAGTCAATGAAACTTAAAAATAAAGCTATCATAGGGACTGGAGTGATAGCACAGCGGGTGGGGCGTTTGCCTTGCACGCGGCCAACCCAGGTTCAATTCCCAGCATCCCATACGGTCTCCTGAGCTACCGCCAGGAGTAATTCCTGAGTGCAGAGCCAGGAGTAACCCCTGTGCATCGTCAGGTATGACCCAAAAAGCCAAAATAAATAAATAAATAACGCTATCATAAGAGGCAGCTAGAAAATAAAGTTTTCTATTTCCTTTAAGAAACTTCTCTCGGGGCTGGAGCAACAGCACAGCAGGTAAGGTGTTTGCCTTGAATGCAGCTGACCAGGTTCGATTCCCAGCATCTCATATGGTTCCCTGAGCACCGCCAGGTGCTTTTTGTGACCCAAAAAGCAAAAAACAAAACCAAAAAACACCCACCTCTCATTCACTGTTCACTGTGCAAAGATAAGCAAAAGAAAAAAATTAAAAATTAAAAATGGGGAAGAGGGACCCCTGGACACTAGTACAGCTGACAGGGTGTGTTTCCCTTGCATGTAGCTCACCCGAGTCCAATCTCCAGCACCCCTTGTGGTCCCCTGAGCCCAACCAGAAATGATCCCTATGTAGAGTCAGAACTATGCCCAGAGCACCACTGGGTGTGGCCCCAAAACAAGAAAAGAAAAAGAATTTTTTTGGTGAATTAGTGTCTGCTCTCAGCCACGTGGCAGGGAAGTGCTTAAACCTCTGTAACTATTCCCCCAGCCCAAGAATAAACAGTTTTTAAGAGGAATGAATATACTGTATGTCTCAAATCTGTTAAAATGACAAGAGACAAAAACATGAGCAGTAGACATTTCAGTTGTTTTAGTCAAAATGTTGAGGTGTTTCTAGCCATCACGTCAAAAGAAGTAGAACAGATCCCTCGAGAAAACTCGGCACTATCGGACTTGCTGCTTACCTGCCACACACCCACAATGGCGTTGGCTACCAATATAAGTAAGATTACGAAGGGTTCCACAAAGGCTGTAATTGTTTCTTCGCCTTCTTCAAACCAAGCCAAAACCTAAAGAAGAAATAATACTGTTGCATTAAATACTGTTGCAAAAAAAGAACTGTTGCATAGCATACTTTTAAGATTACTGCCACTCCACAACCATAAGAATTCCGGCAAACAGAACCTCTTTTTACTTAAAAAGTGGTAACTGCTGTAACAACCAACTTGTATCTTGTTCATGGATCTTGAAAATCAAAACTACAATTTCTTAATGCTATAAAATCACAACTCCTTAACAAAATCGCAGAGTCAAAAATGATCTAATCATTAAGCCAGGAGTAGCCCTGAGTACCTCCACACTACCCCGCCCCCTCTCCCAAAGAAACATTTAAAAGCTGCAGCCAAGTCGAGAAAGTGGACCACCTGTAACAGCTGAGCACCTCTAAGATTGTAAGAGGGAACCCTAAAATAGTAATGAAGGGCCAGAGAGGCAGTACAGGGGTGAAGGTGCTTGCCTTGCATGTGACTGACCCTGTTTCGACCCCAGCAGAGTCCTCAGTCCCTGAAGCACCACCGGGAGAGAACGCTGAGCAGAGAGCCAGGAAGAAGCCCCTAGGCACCACTGGGAATTGGTTTAATTTTTAAGCATTTAGTTTTTTTTTAACATTTAAAACAATTTGGGGCGAGAGCCAGCAAGACAGCACAGTGAGTCAAGCACTTGCTTTACACGCACTGACCCAAGTTCCACTCCCAAAACCCACTAGTCCCCTGAGCACCATAAGGAGTGATCCCTGAGCCCAAATCCTTCCCTCCCAAATGTTCTTAAATCATCACTCTAGATGGTTAAAAATTAAGAATCTTTCTGCCATCCAGAAAAAGGATATTAAACATATCTATTGATTTAATCTGAGAGATAAAATTTGCCTTTTTAAAACACTGCTTAAATGTTTACAAACTTCGTAAGTTTTTTTCTTCGAAGACCTGTTTAGGGCCAAGTCTATAGTTCAAAAGGTAAGAGTACAGGGCTGGAGTGATAGTACAGCGGGTAGGGTGTTTGCCTTGCATGTGGCAGACCCAGGTTCAATCCCCAGCATCCCATATGGTCCCCTAGCAATACCAGGAATAACTCCTGAGTGCAGAGCCAAGAGTAACCCCTGAGCATTGCTGGGTGTAGATACGCCCCCCCCCCACCTCAAAAAAGAAAAACAGAAACAAAAGCTAAAAGTGCACCATGGCTTGTATCCTTGAGGCCCTTGGCTCCGTCCCTCCCCAGCACTGCATGGCCCCTGGAACACACCCGGAAGGGCCACTGCAGTCAGACCACCAGGCCCAGTGTTAAGGGGCACCTAAGTACAGCTGGGACCACACCCTACAATAAAATAAAATTCAAATTAAAATGTATTCATTAAACACTGTTACAGCAATAATGAAACCACTTGACCACATCTGTAATGAGCAGAACTTTGAAACTGGGTAACCTCTAATTAAAAAAAAAAAATTTAGATAATTTTCAAGTAAAAAAGCAGGCAACAATCCACAGACAATATCCATTGAACAGGGAAAAAAGCAAATCAACCAGGGGAAACACCAGGCCCAGGTCCTGGAAGAAGCCATTCATCAGTAACTCTACAAAGTAAGGGCTGACAGAAAAGCAGAATATAGATGTTGCCGCATGCCTTCAACAGGGCATTCCGGACATTAATACCAGGCCTAAGGCCAGAATGAAATCTTCTCTAGGAAGCTATAAAATCTGAAAGACGCAAGATCACAGCTGCTCAGATACTAACTACTCTTCCAAACATTTGCCAAGGAGAGTGTATCAAAAATAACTTAATTGGCTCTTGGAGAAAAATTGCTCAACTTGAAGAGTAACTAGGATCTTTCCAAAAGGTCAGTGAGGCATTAGCAACTCTAAGATAAGCTTCACACCTTGTTAAAATGGGTATGAAATTTCCCTTTTGGCAGCGAGGCCTGAGGGATCGCAGTGACAGTCTGTAACAGTTGGAGCAAACAAAAAAAACCAAGATTGCTAGGAGAAACCTCTGTTATTTATGAAATGTGTAGTTTCTTAACACAAATCATACCAATTTTTTGTTTGTTTTGGGGACCACACCTGGTAATGGTTGGGAAACCTTGAGAGCTTGGGATGCCAGGGATCGAACCCAGGTCACAAAAGCAAGGCCAAGAGCTCTCCACTGTACTTACTATTCCTCTGGCCCCCTTCAATTATTCAATAATCCTAATCTGTAAAACATAGTAGCCTTTTCTTCCACCACAATTTTAGATGTTTGTGTTTAATAAATGTAGGCATGAGGCCAGATAGTACCGAAGTTAAGGTGCTTGCTGTCCTGGGTTCAACCCCTGACACTCCATAAGGTAACCCCCCAAACTCCACCAGGAACAATCCTGGAATGCAGAGTCAGGAGTGAGTCCTGAGCTCCACCAGGTGTGGCTCAAAACCCAAAAGGAAAATAGAAAGAGAAACAGGCATTCAATTATTTGAAGATTCTACATCTATACTAATTATTGCTTGACGAAAAGCTAGTGGACATAGAGCATAGAAACATTTTTACATTCTTGTAAACCAATGTTACTTCTATAAAATATAAACTAAAAACTAATGGACAAATCAAGTTATAAGAGTGGACAGACAATGCTGAACCTATTTAAAATTGACGGGGCTGGAGAGATAGCAGAACGGGTAGGGCGTTTGCCTTGCACGCGGCCAACCCAGGTTCGATTCCCAGCATCCCATATGGTCCCCTGAGCACCGCCAGAGGTGATTCCTGAGCGCAAAGCCAGGAATAACCCCTGTGCATCGCCAGGTGTGACTCAAAAAGCAAAAAAAAAAAAAAAAAAAAAAAAATGACATCCACCGATTTCTTGAATAATGTCCATTTTAAAAACCTCAAATCACCCAAAGAATTTTAAATACAAGAGAGCTCAAAATGAAGATCAACCATGTTTCATCAATAAAGAACCAATGAAGTCATTTATATTCTGGTCCCATGTCTTTACTGGTTTTGTCCTACTGAAAAGTAAAACTTTAGCTCACTAACCAAAGACTCCCGAAATGAGGAAGCAGGTAGGAGATTAAGGAGAGGCCAAGTGGATGAGTAATACATTATCGAAATGCAAGATGCCTTATAGCATTATAATACAGCCTCTATACTCCACAACTACGGTTTACATAAAAAGCACACAAAATATGTTTACACTGTTCAGGCGGAAAATGTTTCCAAATACTCCATAAAGAATAAGTTAAATATGAGAGTCATATGCACGCGGCCAACCCGAGTTCAATTCCCGGCATATTCCATATGGTCCCCCCTCAAACACCATCAGGAGTGATTCTGAAGTGCAGAGCCAAGAGTAACCCCTGAGCGTAGTCAGACGTGGCCCATAAGTTCTCCCCTCACCCCCCAAGCAATGCAGACAGATCATTTTTGATTTCTAACCTGTCTGCATTGCTTCTGTTCAGTTGTATCTCCAGAAACTTAACTCATACGCAGCAACTTAACGCTGTATTCCCAGAGGCCGCATCCTGTACCGGGTGCTCAATAAATACCAAACAAAGCAGCATGAGAGGGAAGGAAGGCATTCAAAATAAAAGACAAAATCCCAAACACCCAAGTAAGGGATTCCTAATGTTACTTCATACATAATGAGAGAAAATAGACCTCTCCTCTTCCAATTCAAGTGACCTTAAAAAAAAAAAAAGCTATACTGGTGAATATTACAAGTTAAATTTTTTCTCTACAGGTCACAAGTGTAAAACATTAATGCAGTTTCCTACTTTCTGCCACAGCAAAATATTAACTATGGTTAACTGTTTACTACTTAGTTTAATATTTGAAATAACTCACTAAAACCTATCTTTTATTTTGGTGGTAGGAGAGGAGGTTCGCTACACCCAGCAGTGCTCAGGGGTTTCTCCTGGCCGTGTGCTCGAGAGACCATATGGGGTGCTGGGGATGGAACCTGGGTCAGGACGGGCAAGGCTAGCGCCCTACCCGCTGGACTATCCCTCTAGCCCCAGACTTGACATTTTTAACTTGCGCAGAATCTGATGATGTGCTTGCCATGTCTACGTAAGAACTGCCTTTTCACCTCTCCAAAAGAAAAGTTCAGTGTCTTTCCTAACTAGAAAGAATAAACTACACAAAAAAAGATAAAGAAGGAATGAAAAGGTCAAGTACAATGAAGCCACAGAACCAAACCTACAGAGAAAAATCAACAAAACAGGTTTAATAATTGGAATTTCTTAAATCAAGCAAGAGATTTCTATAGCGAGCATACTTACATGTTTTAAAACTCATTTTTTAGAAACTCTAAATAATTTAATGTAGTTCACTTCCTGAGCAAAAAAAAAAAAACCCACCCGAACCTAAACTCTAGAACTCGACTCCATAAAGTTAAAATTCAGAGTCAGGAGAGAGAACTTGCCTATACCTGGCCAACAAGGGTTCAGCCCCCAGTACCACATACATACAGTGTCCTCTGAGCTATGCCAGGAACAATCCCTGAGCAGAGTCAAGAGAAACTCTTGTGCATGGCTGAATGCAACCCAACCCCTATCCATCCCCTGCCCTCCACAACATACACACATAAAAAATGCAGCAATCTACCTTACCACACAAGTCCTAAAATTACATTTAACAAGGTGCAGAGGGGCCAAAGAGATAGTACAGTGGGTAGGGTACTTGCTTGCCTTGTACACAGCAGACCCTGGGATTCGATCCCTGGCATCCCATATGGTTCCCCGAGCCAGGAATGATCCCTGAGAGCAGAGCCAGGAGCAAACCCTAAGCACCACTGGGTGTGGGCCCAAAACCAGAATAAAAAGGCCTCAAAACTAGAAACACATTTGCTTCAAAAGAAAAAAAATTAAATTCAACATAAAATCAAAATGGCCACAAGAGTCTTCATAAATTCCAATAACCAATAGCTTACTTAGAAACGCCACTGTTGCCATAACACTGAAGTTACACACATGGAATAATGCAATAAAAATTTATTTATCTCAGGCTTGTATACACTGGCTAATTTTAACTCCCTGATGACCTTAACAGACCCCAGTATTTTAACAGTCAAAAGTGTATGACTATTTCAGAATTACATATCTAAATTAGATATCATACGAGCTTCAAAGACATCATTTGTTTTGTCCAATGACAATGTATTAAAACTAATCAAACAGCTTCTGTACCTTAACTGGGAAAGTGGTAGCTCTGTGAGATAAGGGGGAGTGGATTTTTCAGCCTGCTAAACAATACGAAGACTCATTTACTAAGGTCTACATTAAAGTCCACCGGTAGAAACCGACTTTAAAAATGCCCACTGCTTCCTTTATGCAGTTCTCAAAACAGCTCTCTATGGCATGGCTGTGACGGAGATAAAGGGCTTGCAAACCATAAAACAAAAAATGAAACTAAAGTGGAGTCAATTTGCAAAGCCTTTAAAAAAAAAAAAAGCTGGTAATGGGTGAATTTCACTTCCCCTGATGTTTTTCATACTAATAAAATACTGCAACTTTAAAAAAGCTATCTTGTATCATATGGTGGCCATTTTAAGGAAAATACAAAGACTCTCAGTCCAAGAAATAAATGCAGTACAAAATATGGAGCAAAAATATTAATAACCTCAGAATAGTCTCTATAATCAACAGCACCTTTCTTCTGCTGTAACTCTTGGCATTTCCACAGTTTCTTAGCAACCATATAGGACTCTGCAGGCAAGCACACGCGGAACAAGAAAAAATACTTTTTTTTCCCATTTAAGATCTAGAACCAACTGTACCGTGTTCTGTCAACCAACAAGTCGCTGGAGACAGGGGTCCAATCTAGATAAATATACCTCCCTAAAGGTCAGTGACCAAATTTGGTCAACAGTGGTGCCATCATTGCCGTCATCATTCTTGTCACTGTCAGAAACAACTGTCACCTTGCCACTACCAGGAAGGAGAAACTGGAATATTCCTTCTGTGAGTTCTATTTAAGACTACAAAGAGGACATCACCAACTCTGCATGATCTCACATGATGGAAGAGACACGACAGAAAAAGCCTTCCAGGGAGAATTTTTTTTAATAAAGATACGGCCACAAGAATCGATGACGCCCTGCCTGCCACATTCAGAAAAGACCTAACTGCGGTGCAAAAGCTGGACATCCATTTATTCTCCGCGATACCCTGAAGAACTGAAGCTATTCCCATCATCTAAAAACGGCCAAATTGAAAACAGCAATATGGAGCCCCAACTTCCACCCTCCTGCAAGACAGCTCTCCCGAGAGACACCGTTCTTCTTTTCGGGGGATTTTCCTCGGGGGCATAGGGGCTTGGTTTTTTTTTTTTTTTTGAGAAAAACAACAAATCCCTCTGTACTCACAAAAGATATACACGCTGCCAGCAATAAAATTCTCACGAGTAGGTCTTCGAACTGCTCGATCACAAGTTCCAGCAAGGTTTTCCCTGTGAGGAACAAACACACGCGTCGTCAATGTCATCGTCGCATCCGCACACGCCGAGCTGAAAAACGGGGGGCGGGGGGGGGGGGACACACGGGGACGTCAAAACCACTCACCTTCCTCAGCCGGCAGCTCTGCAGGATGTCGAAATTCGCCCGGCAACGTGTCAAGAAGCGGAGGGGGGGACAGAGAGAAAGATTTTAGCTCGGTCTTTCCAAGAATCGCCAAACCCGGCGCCGCCTCAGGGAAAAAAAGGGGGGGGGCTGCTAGACGTGTGGACGCGCCACCGCTTTCCGGTGTTTTTTGTTGTGTGTGTGTGTGTGTGGGTTTTTTTTTTTTTTTGGTCCGGGAGCCGCGCGTCAGGCTCGGAGCCCCCGGGGCGCGCGCGGCCGTGGCCACCCCCGACGGCGGCGCCCGCCCCGGGGCCTCCCCTCCGGCTCCGGCTCCGTCCGCCGCGCGGCCGGCGCGTCCCGGCGTCCGGCGTCCCGGCGGGCTGGCGTCGGCGCGGGCCGCGGGAAGGTCACGGCGGCGGCGGGCCGCGGCGCACGAGGTGGGGCCCGTCAGCCATCTTCCCGGCCCGCACCTACCGTTGGAGCCCCACTTCTCCTTGAGCTTCTTGACCTGCTCCAGGCTCAGCCCCGTGCTCTCGTTGACGCCGAAGTGGCCCAGCACCTCCTCCACCGTCTTTGTGTGCGCGTTCTCCATGGCGGCGGCGGCGGCGGCGGCGGCGCGGCCCGGCCGGCCTCGCCTCCCGGCGCCGCGGCCTCCGGCTCCGCGCCTCGCCCCCGGGCCGCGGGCTCGAGCCGCCCCGGCCGCCCGGGCTGCCCGCGGGCCGCTCCCGCCGCGCCCCGGGCCCGACAACCGCCCCCGGCGCGGCGCCCGCCCGCGAGAGCCTCCCGGGGCCTCGCGGCGCCCGGCGCGCAGGCCGCGGCCCCCGCGCCCGCTCCCGGCTCTCCCGCGGCCACTCGCGGCCCCCGCGGCAGGGGCGCCCGGCCGACCCCCGAGGGCGGCGCGGACCGGCGGCGGCGGCGGCGGCGGCGGCGAGGCAGCGGCGGCGCGCTCGCCCGGGGGCCTCGGCTCCGCGGCCCCGGCAGCGGCGGCGGCGGCGGAGGGAACTGCGGCGGCGAGCGCGGCGCGGGCGGTGGCGTCGGGGACGGCGCGGCGGCGGCTGCTCTAATAGCATTTATCGGCCGCTGCCTCCCCTCTCGCCGCCGCCGCGGCATGTGGACGCCGCTCATTGGCCGAGAGCGCCCGGCGCGGCGCGGGCGGCGCGGCCCCGCCCCCTCCGCCCCCGCCCTCCGGAGCGCGCGCGCCCCCGCCGCCGCGCCGGCCCCGCCCCGCCGCGCCGCCCCCGGAACCCGGATCGAGGCCGCGCGCGCCCGCCCGCGCCCAGCCCGCCGGCGGCCGGCCGACCCCGGGCCGGGCGCCGCGGCCGCCGCGCGAGCCTCCTCCTCCTCGGTGCCCGGCGCGCCGCGGAGCCTCCCCGGGCGCGCGGGGCTCGCGGGGGCCCCTGGGCGCTCGCCTGCGGCCGGCGCGGTCCGCGCGGGGCCGTGTCCTTGGCGCGACCCCTCGCCCTCGGCGGCCGCGCGCGGGAATTCCGCAGTGGGCTGCCCGCACGCCCCGACCCCTCAGCTGCCGCCGCGGAACGCCGCAGCCCGCAGCCCCGGCCAAGTTCCGAGGCGGAGCTCGGAGCCCCGCTCCGGGAGGACGCGGCGGTCCGTCTCCCTCCTAGAGGCCCCCAAAACCTCGGGGACAGTCCCCCTCGGCGCCAGAGTGGGCGACTGGAGCTGCCAGAGCAGGAGCCATTTCCCTCAGGCACGACGATCACCCTCACTCTCCCCAGGAGGGGAGAAAAGGGGGGGGGGGGGGTTGTTCGTTTGTTGTTTATTATTATTATTGGGTTGTGGGATATTTGGAAAGCACAGATGACTTGCTCCCGAGATCCCAAACCCGAGCCAGAGCGCAGAAGAGGGGCTCTTGCCGGTGCAAAGCGACGTTGACAGGGCAAGGGACGTGTGTCCGTGGTCTCCGAGCGGCAAGTGCATGAACGTGTGTGCTCCCGGAGAGGAGCCTGCTGGGAGGCTTGTGTCCTGAAGAAGAAGAACTTAGTCCATATCAGGATAATTTAGTCCAATTTGGCTTTTGGCAGTAGCGTGCCATCCACACAGAATAAGCAAGGCAAAAAGTACTTCAGATGGCTCGACCTCGGGATTTAAGCTAAATTCCTTCAACAAATGCAAATCGCAAAGCATTACCCAGCTGAAAAAAAAAAAACACAACAGGCACGTCATTTCATTTCATTTTTTCCAAGGAGTGGAAGCTGGCATGGAGTTTTGATTGATACTTGGAAAAGGACCAACAAAACCCTACACGAAACAAACAAAAAAAAAATTCTGGTGTATGTCAATCCACTAGGAGAAGCAAGGTAGAAACTGGTTAGGGCACAGGGGTTGTCCTCTTTCTGGAGTGGCACGTGACTGCACAGTGGGGAGTGTGGTAACTAGGGCTGGGGCAGCTTTTCAAACTGGGAGGCCAGGCCCTCACCACCTTCTTCTTAGATCTTTCCTCCCCTGCTTTCAGCAGCCTTAACAGCGCTGCAGGCAGAGGATTTGTTCCCTTTCACAGCCTGAAATTACCTTTGGCATCTGACTTTACATCTCTGTACTCTTGCCTGGGTCTTCACAATTGGAAGCAGCAATGGTGCGATTATGAGCTTCCTGTGGGCTTCCTGCCCTCCGCTTTTGTACTGCCTGCACTACCTCGGATCTCCACATGCCTAGTTCTATTCTGTCCTTCGGATCTAAGCTCACATGCACTTCCTCAGACCTGCCTCCGCTGACCCTGCCAGAAAGCAAACACTCCCTAAGAACGGGACCTTGTCCAGCTTGTTCATCCTCAGGATGTACAAGGCCTGTGGTATACATACGTTCCTTAGTTATCGAGCACCTAATTGCTGAATGAATTAAGAGTCTCATCAGCCCTGATCAAACGGTGCCTTGCAAGTGCCTTGCCTTGGGAGGACCTTGGGAGATTTTTGCTGAATTCAAGTTCGTTGATCTCCAATTCGTGAAATGAACAGGAGGACCCCTCAACTACATGGCTCCTGGGACTGGCCATGAAAGTTAGCTCTTGTTTAAAACACACAAAGTGAAGGGCATTAGACGTTTCTCAGATCTGAGTGAAATGTAAGCCCATTGGTCTGTTACCAGACTGTCGTCATTCTCTGACTGTTCTTTGCAAGCCTTCTGTTTTTTGGAGGTTGGAATGCTCCCTTTAACTGAAAAGGATTTTTTTTTTCAGCCTTGGATGGCTCCTTCATGTCACGTACCAATTATGTCCTTGGTTCCTCAACCTGTCGGTGTCTCTGAAATCTGTTTATAGATCACCAAAACTTAGCATGCAATCCAGTAAAGGCCAAAAAAAATCTATATTTTCTTGTATGGAAGCTAACTTGGGCTCAATATGTATTATGCATTGAAATACATGTGCTTCTTGTTCACAAGGTTTTAAAAAGTAAGAATGGGCTTTAGACAGACTCTATTTTTACCAAGGACTGCTGCTATATTTAATCAATGGGGGATAGGGAGAAGAAAACTAAGAGGACCTATGATTCAGAATGACGGATGCGTCGATCAAAGAGTTTCAGAGGAACTCACAAGGGTGGCTTGAGCAGAGGTAGGCAGGCCAGCTTAACATCGGGGCAGACAGAAAGGGCCCAGCAGCAAAGGGTGACTTGCAAAAGAGTCCCCGGCCATCCTGTCCTCCTGCAAAGTGCTGAGGATTGCAAAAGGCAGCGTGTTCCATATTTGGACAGTTCTAATCGCCAAAGCAGCTTCATTCTGAGCTCAACCCCTCTCCCACCAACTGGCTTCTATACATTGGTTCTTTTGCCACCTCTGGAACAACTCTAAACAAATCGAATCCCTCCTCTATATAGGAGCCCTTTGAATATTTCAAGGTATTCTGCAGGTCTCTTTCCTCTGCTAAAAATAAATAAAACCAACCCAGCTCCATCTCTGAGTTGCTCCTTCAAAGCCCGAGTCTCTAGTCTGTCAGCGCCCTTGTTGTCCAGGGATGGACACAGGCTGCTGAGCACAGGAGGCTGAGCATGGCACCTCAGTGGTCGCTGTCCACCCCCCCAACCCCCCCGCTGCACAGACCATCACTGAGAAGCAAGGCCTGAAGACGGAGGCTGCAGTCAACTTCAATCTTCCCATCACGGATGTGCAGGGTTGCTTGGCTTTTTGGTTTTTTGGTGTTTTTTTTTTGTTTGTTTGTTTTGTTTTTTAACCCTGGCACCGAACTCTTTGATTTTGTAGCTGTCTGTCCTACTTTGATAAGCATGAATTATGACATCTATGTCATCATCCAATAGAACCTCCAGACATTCATTCTAATTAGAAAGCCACCAATCAAGTGGATTTAATTGCTTAATTGCTCTAAGCCTACTTGGCTTTGAGTTCCAAAGAAAGTAAAGTGTAAACCTTTTCATGTATTCCCCTGCCTTCTTCTTTCCCAGATGTGTTTTATTATACAAGCTTTCAACCGGTCTTCTTTTGGTTTAGCAGCTAATATAGTCAGTTTTAACTTAAGCACAGAGATCAATAAAAAATAAAATACGTTATGTATGTGCTAGATTCCTAACAAGGTGAGGAAGGTGGAGAGGCAGGAGCGAAGACCCTCAAGCTTCGTCACTGCCGTGTCCCATGAAGTCTTTGCTGAGTAGCTGGGCAGGACTGCCCGCATTCGCCAAGCTCCAGGTCATGGAGGGGGGCGAGGGCTCAAGTTCTGGGCATGCCCAGTGTGTTCGGACCCTGAGTTCAATTCACAGCACCACATGCCCCCCCCCCCAGTGCTATATGAGGCCCTATGAAAATTGTCATGTAAATTAGTCACTAAGTAGCGACTATGGGTGTTATCCAGTCAGCTTGCCCCCCTTTCTCCACTGGCCAGAAGAACTTAAGGCGACAACTCTGAGACCTCGGGCACTGTCTGCAGCCAACTCCAACTGCACATTCTTGCGGTCTTCTCACAGAATGTGACCACAACACGTTCCTACAACCCACAGCTTCAACATCCAGGCATTTGCCAAATTGAATAGAACGTCTTTCCAAAAATTGCCTCTTGCTCTCCCGCTGACCAGCATTCTCTTAGGCTAGCAAGAGCTGGACAGGCCGGGGGACATGTGTGCAGGTGGGAGCCCTGGGTTCCATCTCTGGACCACACAGTCCCAGCGCCTCAGGAGCAACCCCTGAGCACAAGGCAAGAGCGCCACTGCTGGGTGAGGCCCCCAGAAAACAAAAAAAGAAGCGGTGGGAGTAGTGCGCAAAGCAGTCTTTTGACGGGTGTCAAAAAAAACCAACTCGGGGCCAGAGTAATAGCACAGCGGGTAGGGCATTTGCCTTGCATGCGGCCGACCCAGGTTCGATCCCCGGCATCCCATATGGTCCCCCAAGCACCGCCAGGAGTAATTCCTGAGTGCAAAGCCAGGAGTAACCCCTGAGCATTGCTGGGTGTGACCAAAAAAGCAAAATAAATAAATAAATAAATACGTAATTCTACTTATAAAAAAAAAACTCACGTGTGCTTTAGAAGGGGCTGGGGGGGTGGGGGGGCTGTCAATGCACTCCAAATTCAGAACAGGTTGATCCAGGAGTGCAAAGCTGAGAATAATCTTTCTCCTGCTGATTTCTCCCCTAGAGCACATGGCTTCTGTGCTA